TTCCTACGAGATGTTCCTCTTCGAACTATGTTCAGAACTGAATTTCCTTAGACAAGCTTATTATCATTCCTGCAGCTCCCTTCGAATGACAATTGTGGAAAAATCAATCATTATCTTATCGAAGATCGTTCCTAAGATATGCTGCAGATTTTATGAGTAATCTAATCGTCTGTTACTCTATTAATCTAATGTAGAGAATACTGTAAAATTTCAGGATTACTTTAAATTTAATTCCCTTTTTCCTTTTTCAGAATTTTTTGTATGCCAGTTTTCTCGAAAAAAAGAAATTTTGAATTTTTCATAAATTGAATTAGCCACCCTAAAATCCTTCAGATAACTTTTGATAAATAAATGTGCCCCTCAAAGGGTTAATGCCATATGTACAAAATTATAAATTACCACGACAATTATGTTTCGACACACACGCGCGTCGATCGTCGACAAAGGGTTAAAATGGAGGGCAATAAACGTTGTGTTCAGCAAGTCTACAGAATGAACATGCAACCTTTCATTGGCGGCTAGATATGCAGGTCGTCGACGGCAATCGGAAACACGAAACTTCGTCGCAGGTGAAAGAGAGGACAAAGATAACCGACAGCGTATCGTATCGTTGAAGGAAGAAAGATGACGATAATGAGGATGATGCGGTGAAGAACTAAAAGGAAGAAGAGAAGGGGACATCCGGTCGACGAGCAGAAGCATTCAGACACGTACTTCTCGTCTTCATGCCAAGAGTCATACTCTACACGTGAAAAAAAGGGCTTACGTATCCCTCTATGAACTGCAAGGGTTGCGAATCATTCCACTAGAACATACTAACTTTTAACCTTAACGTTTCGAATCGATACCTACAAAGAACACTCGATTCCTTTAGATACATATTTTCATGAAACTTTAACCTTTAACTTGACATACCAGAAGTGCCATTTTCCGATACTTTTATGTCATGAAATAGCGACAGAATATGCGTTAGTCCCTATACTTCCATGACGCACGTGGTGCGTCTTGAATGTATTAAGACGAAGTGTTCGAGGTAGGAAATGGTTAATACAATGAAAGACGAGACTAAAGAGTACAATTGTCGAGCAACGACGCCTAAGTAGATAGATAACAGCAATTTAACTATTACAAAACTCAACCACCCTTTCACGGTGTCGTAGAGTCAATTGGAGAATGAAAATTGATCGATTTTAACACTTAAGTTAATTGATAATATTTTTTCTTTTTGTAGCTTTCGAAATTTGTTCGTAGCCATCGTTGAACAATGGCACGACAGGGAAAAGGGTCGTATACCTGGTAAACCGAGGAGAACGGTACAGAAAATGGTAGCGTGGAACAGAGGCCAATATAGAGAGGAGAGGATAGATACTCGAGGGCCAGGTAAAGGCCCTTGTCCTCTATTGTGCCACGGTTTAAGCTGATGCCAGTGATAGATACCTTTCGTGGCATTATGTGCACCAATACCACCGTACCTTTTACACGGTACAGGTTACCGAACCAACTTTTTCATCATAGTGACCACAACGACCTGGAAATACGAGAAATCTCCTCTTCCTGTACCATTTATTATATACTAGTGTCACGTCAGACATAATGATAATAATTTTACCATTTTCAGTAAATTTTTCCCTTTCGCTTTGCGATATAATTGAAAATTTTCCATTGCGCCTTCGACCGAAAAAGGGTTAATTATCATTCCGTTGGAGGACGACACGTTTCCCTCTATCATTTTATCACGGCCGAACGAATCGTAAGCATTGCGAAAACAGGAAGTCCTCACAAAGCGTTGCCTCGTTTCCAGACTAGAATATGTAGATTATTCGATAAGCTATCCAAAAAAATGCTAATTATTAACGATCCCGCGTTCTTAATTACGAATATGAAGTTTCGGTAAATTGAAACTTAGAAACAATAAGGGAACGACAGTTTCGTCGCGGGGTCAGATTTCTCGGCTGCAGAAATACTGCATTACGAGAAATTGGCATGCATTTCGTATTAGTGTCTCGTGAAGACAAGCGTTCTCGTGTTTCCAGGTCGATGCTCGACATAATGTTGCCGAGTAAAGGGCATATGAGGGCAGTCTGGTGTAAAGGTAAATTGGCGAACGATCCGGGGGAAAAAGAAAGTTTTACATTCAACCGGGACCGAGTAATGTGTAAATGTACCGAAAAAAAAAGAAAAAATAGTAACAGCATTGTTAAAATAGAATAGCAAATAAATAATTATCACGTTTCTTCCCGCATTCCTATCGAAACAGACTCTATTATTATCTAAGAATGAGTAACGCAAAGGCACTTACGCATTCGCTATGCGTGATCAACGTGCACGTTCTCAATGTACAATGTACTTACATACAAATGTTTTTATTACGGCTGTACCATCGATAATTACTATTAAAGCGTGTGCATCCGTGTGCCGCCTTAATTGCACCAGTACCGTTCAATTAAATGCACGCGACCCTGTCGGGGTGCAATGCATACGGTTCGCGCAAAACGAGTAACTGGAGAACGATTAATAATACAGCCAGCTAGACGCGAACTTTTAATTTCGTTCGGTTCCCGCATGGTTTCGTAACGAGGACAGAGCCGGTCATTGATTAAATTTTCTTTGGACAATGTGGCCCATTGATATACCATCCCGTAGATAAGGAGAGATAACAACGAATTTGGGACGGCGATCCACAAGCTTATATTGCCCTTATTCTTTTTCGATAAATTTTAACTGGTCACTAGGGAAATTTATCTGGGTCGTATGGAATTATATCCTAATCGTATAGAAATATTGGAGTATGTTTGAAAGTAAGAAAAGTAGCAAAGGAAAAAATTAAATAATTTTTCTATAAGCTTAGTTTTCTAATAAGTGCAACGATGCAGGTAAGGAATAAAAATGCATCTTGTTGCTTGCATTCTTCGATATTGGTTTGATGTATATTTATTGAATGATTCGATGCTATTTGTTGTTAAACAGTGGCATTGATTACTGGTACTCTTATTACTCTTGTACATATCTCTCGTTACTCCCTACGGTATTTACTATTTGTAATATTCGACACTCGTGTTATTAATATTAAGAGTGCTTTCAAATGCTAAAACGATTAATTATTTCGTTCATTAACGAACCTGGTTCTATAATCAAATACCTAGGAGGCTAATTTTTTCATTTGGAATAACATAAGCGAAAATCAACGAAAAATTCACGCTTTCGGCATTTGAAGGTCATTAAATTGGAGAAAACGGAACCAGATTTTTCTATATGATAATTAGCGGTATTATTTATCGCGATACCCTGGCACGTGCTACATATCCTTTCCAATCGTCAACCAAGAGGTCAACGGTTTAACTTCGTTCACACAATTGGACGGATTAACGTCGTAATAAATCTCAATTAGTCTGGCTCCTACGTTCCCCCATGTTGGAAAAGGGGAGTGATTTTTCGTAGATTTTTGCCATCCTAATCTCTCAAAGTGTGGCGATAATCTCCGTGTGAATCGCTGCAGGTGTCTCGGCTCGATTCATATTTAAAATAAATCATTCGTGATTTAATTCCTCTCTGTTGTATCTATCTGTTTCGACCACATTCATGCATGCACGGAGTCTTTACGCCCTAATTAATTCGCTGATACCCCGTTTCGATTTCACGTACATTTTTAATTACAATTAATGCGTCTGATAATTATGAGATAGCCTAATAATTATATGAGTATGAAAATAGTCCAAATTGAAATTTCAAAAATTTCAGTATGGATATTTATTTGTTAAGTTAAATTTTTAAATTGCCGGTTGTTAATTTCCCATGAATGAGCATTTACGAAAAGAGAGCATAAATCCGGAGCGTCATTTGGCGGTAGTACGGTACAAAGCAACTTATAGCCCATTAACGCGAGCCCCCTTAACATAACGCGTACAATCTGCCCTTGATACCATTCATAATGAAGAGCAATGTACACAACGGCCACTAGGCATGGTGACCCATCGATATTCTACCCATAAATCATATAACCACGTAATTACCTTAATAATTAAGCGAAACTATCCGCGATAACAGAACATTTACACACGACTTTCGCACGAGTTTAGAAAGCTAATTTACTATTAGGATCATCTAAACTGATGGTTAAATTAATTCTAGTTACTTATTTTAGTAATTAGAATTTTAATTCAATAATTCAAAACTTCATAAATTCAAAACTTCAAAGAATTTCGAAATTTGAATAACGATAGATACATCGATCGATTATGCGATTGCTACTTCGATTATCTCGATCAATACCGCAATGGCGAATGTTATATTTCGTAACTTTCACGTTTATGTTTTTATGCCTCTATTAACTCTAAAATGATTAATTTTGCAACCTAGATAGATTAAACCTAAAAAAATATAATTTTTTTACTGGGAATTTAAAATTGTAACGATTAAAAATATCAAAGTATTAAAAATGGAGGTTAGAAAAGAAGCTTCCTGTACGGGCAAACATTCGTTCGGTTAACCAAGTGCATGTAAAGAGTCGTACATAAAAGCAGTTTGGTCAAGAGCCAAGAAATCATTATTCGTTCAACTCAGCAATGTACCCGATGTTTAAATCGTCGCAAATTAGGCTTGACCCGTTTTAGAAAACGTTCAACTCCGTCGTCGCACATTCGCATCGAACCGTTCATCTTTGTCAGGGATATTGTAACGCCAAGCGAGTATCCTGTACTCGTGCCAGTTTCATGACAAAGTGAATACCGTTTGCAACGCGTAATAACGACACTAATCACCGAGCTTACCAACTAATTGCCTAAAAACTCCGCATTATTAAAAACTCCCCAAATGTATAACGCTAAGTATTGTAATTGTAAATATATTAATAATGGATAACATTAGGAAACTGGTTTTACGTTAGGGCCGTTTTGGGGAAAAAAGTAAAGGAACAAAATTTTGTCTGAAAATACGGAATGCAGATGGAAACATGGGAAAATGAAAAATACGAGAATAAGATGAAAATGGGCGCGAAAACTAACCTGTGGCGCAGGCGCTTCCAGCGATCCAGATGAAATAGACAGCGGCAAATAAAATCCGCGTCCTCGTGCTGAGGAAGGTCGACAGGTCCGCCACTGCATTTCTCCACAGCATCTCCATGTTTTACCTGGTAAATTCTTGCTGTACCGCTCTCTTGCCACTTGCACTTCCTTCGCACTTCACTACGAGAACGTCATACAATCTCACGGTTGAGTTACGCGAACGAATACCAACAATTCCTGTACGATCTCCTCATTTTTGTTAAGTTCAGCCTCGATTACGTTTTCTTTCAACGGACGGTCAACGAAAGAGCACTACGACGTACACCTGTGAGACAACATTCCTTTTACTTGCATTCCTAGTCCCTCCTCCTTTCGGAAAACCGACGATCCTGAAGCATCCGTAACGTTTTCAAACATTCGGCTATTATTTCTTCTTTCCTATCGAAATTAATCCATCGCGTCTGCAACTTCGTCGTGTTACGTGTCGTTCGACGCTTTCTTACGGCATACCGTTGTAATATTCATTTTTCTGAAATTATATTCGTGCACGTGTTAAATGTATCAGAATTCGTGAAGATATAAACAAATGTCAATATTTGTCATCGAGTAAAATTATTATGTCAGCAAACAAGTTTAGAGGAAAATTGTCGTTATAGCGATAAAGAGTCACGGATCTTTCTTAGAACACCTTGCACAATACGATGATTATTAGAAAAGTAAACACGTGTACATTTTCGAAATATCAAAATTAAAATGTCAGAATATTTGGTTTTATATCATGTAAAATTGATTTATTTTTGGATAAACGCACTGTATATAAAAAAAATGAAGAGTTTTATTACTTTCTTCCGTAAGGTTGTCCCTTCAGGAAAGTCCCAGGTAACGCAACACAAAACGGTCACATTCACCTGGTAACACCTGGCAACACCGTTGAATTTCTTAGAAACTTGCTTAGGCTTTCTTTTATTTAGACGAAAAACACACTTAAAAAACTTTTATTAAAAAACACGAATGGAAAGTAAAAACTTGCACGACGCGACACATGCTCCGTACTGTCCGTGAGTTTCGTTCGAATTACAAAGTTTTGTTGACTGACCGTCGTCGCCTGTGTTCACAGGAAGAATCAAGTTGAAATTCTAACCACGCGCATGTTTGACGTCCCTAGCAGCATCTGGCCAATCAGCGTGGGGCTTCGGCAACCAATCAGAAAATTTCCACTAGTTGGTATGCGGCGGTTGGTACTTGATGCGAAACACCATACTACGCAGTTTCTAAAAAAAAAAAAAATAACTAATACTACGAATTAGAAAATTCATTTATTTCCTATACTTCTTTCTTATGTGGTTCTCCTATTCCTATTTCGGTTTTTATTCAGATTCATATTCCTATTTGCAACTTAGTTATTATTAAAAACTTCCTATTAATTTTTAAGTTCCCCTAGATCGAATAATAAAGGAAGTAAATGAATGGAAAAATAACATCTCAATGTTACTGCTATAAACAGGATCATGAAAATTAAGTACACAGGGAAGTATTTGCATCATTAATCATTGAAGAAAGTTTGATATTAAAGTTTTATTGAATTAAATAAAAATTAAAAGAAAAATCCAAGTATTTTTCCTCCAAGATGTTTTCTTCTTGCTTCCTCATGATCCATAATTCCTCCACTTGTGGTTAACACAACATACCTGAAACATACATGAATTTTATGTAGTATAAAGAATTAGTTGTTTACTGTACGACATAAATTTTTAAATATATACCCAAACTGTCTAGATGGCAACAGATTATTGGTCCATTTTTCAATATCATTAATTGGTACATCAAACCTAGGTGAAATTACACCACATTTGTTTAATCTTCCACTAAGATTTACGACCACTTTACCACTACGGTGATCATCGACAATTTCAAATTCGCCGATGTAACCTAAATGTGATAACAATGATATAGTAAAATCTTACATACACAATTTCCTTATATCATGCAAATTATATAATTTTACTTATGTATTTATATTTTTATGTTTCCATTTAAATATTTTCTTACCTTTCCTCATCATTACAGTTAAAAATTTAATGATTACTTTTGAGCAGGGCCTCAAGAGCACCTGCCTCTTTCCACGCTTTTCAGCATTGTTAATGGATTTAAGAGCATCGCTAAGAACGTTCATACGCACCATGGCTGAAAATAAACAATAATTTTTAATTAGTAAATATTTATAGGAACATTGTGGTATTTATTTATTAAAGCATAGCACTGATAGCTTATGCTGTTGTCATTTAAACATAACCTATAGCGAACACAAAATATATCGGAATTTTATTTCATCTCTTCTTAAATACAATCATAGAGTAAATAGCGATACATTAACTTGTTTTAAATACTAATTAATTCTAAGTAATACAATTTGAGTTTAATAAACAAAATAACGACAACAGAAAACAACCTGCATCAGTGATCACCTTAAATTGTAGACTTTAACACTAAACTAAACAGAAAATATTATCGTGAACTAATTGATTATTAAAACTAATAACTGATTTATAATAAATTTACATCAGATGAGCTTTAAACAATGAGATTACCTGCAATTGATAAATTTATTTATCACGCCAACGTACACGCTCGATTAGCCGACCGAAAAAGAGACCCTCTTTCTCAATGTTACCATACTGACTCCTTAAACTTACTAGTAATTTATATTAAATTCTAGGAACTTTAAGGCGATGCCGCTTCAAATGTACAAGCTGCGCGCATGATCGCTCAGTCGAGTGTGGAGAACGAATAAACTGCGCTCTACAGAAAAAATGAGGAACTCAATTTGTGATCTGTTTTATCTTTTGACGTTTTTCGCGAGTAAGTAATGAACGAAATTGTAGTTCATCATCCCCTGGGTGCTCGTTTTGTTCTATCCGATCCAAAGAATGTTAGTCTTTAATTATCTATTTTTGTAAAATAAGCAATTCTTTATTTCGTTCGCTTTGTGTTTCATCGTTAGATGGTGCTGCAGGTACTATTTTAAATACACGCATCCATAAAAAATTAAAAAACATTAAAAAAGGATCGCACAATATTCTTAGCCTGTTGAACTAATTATTTTATAAAAACATAATGTTTTCTCTTACTAATGCTAAAATTTAATAATTACAGCATTTGAATTCTGGACGTAAACCTTGAAGGTCAATGAATCGAAAGAGCAGCACATTTATAAAAGAATAGTAATTTGTGCTAAAATGCATAAATTGAAAGCAAATATTTTCTTGAATAGAGCAATAGAAAACCATGAAGTTTATTTATGGTATGAATGATGGACTACTACATGTACGAGTTCCTCACCCATAAAAAATTCACAAAGAATCCTCGAAATATTTCGCGGAAAATATCATAATTAATTAATTGTACGTTTACTGAACAGTAACCTAATTTCAACCTAAGATACAATGGAACAAACATCTTTAATGTACGGACGTTGTACATTGGGTGGTTATAAATCACCAGCACAGAACACGCAATAGGCGTACCTCGTTCAAACGTTCTCAACACGAAACAGTCATGAAACTGCCTTCGTTTTTGGACAAAGTAATTCGAGTGCGACGGAAATCGCTTTCTCTAGCCTCGATGACGTACTCTAACCGACAAACGGATGTTTGGTATTGTCGCCAATATAGTTAATTTCGTATGAGCAAACTGTCGTGTACCGTAAAAAGAACCTACAACACGAAAGGATAAATGAACAGTAGATCTCCTGAAGTCGCTGGCACCACATCGACGCCATGAATCTACAACTTTGACGTGATTTTAGCGGAAACAAGATGGAGCACGAACAGGTTCGGCTCAATACAGTCCGGTGCCCATACTCCACTTGGAAAGTCATATTCGCATATCTTGATTGAACTTTGAATAGAATAACGTTGAAAATAAATATTAATGAGTTAAATCGACGAAATTGAATATTTCTGAAGTAAAACGTAAAAAAGCTCCACGTAACCGTCAGGAAAACAATCTACGCTTCAGTTTCGTCGTATAAGTATTTTATCTAATATATCATATCACATACATATTTTCAATATTCAGATTAAGGAATTTATCATTAAGAATTACTGGTTACGATGAATAAATTGATTAAATAAAGCTAAAGAGAATTATTCCAGAAAGCAAAGAAATTTTATGTAATCATAAAACTTCTGTGCGTAGTATATTCTAGCGTAGAAAAAATAATGTTGTAATGTCAAATAACATTAAACTGGATATCTTTTGTCATAACATTCTAATCCGTGATATTTACACACAAAGCGGCCAGCCTGGTAAATCTTTCATTAGCTTACACAGTCCATCGCGCTGACGCGTTTGTTTGATCGTTACTTCCTTGATTAGAGAACACGTTACAAAGTTAAGTACTTTTATTTTCGTAATAATCCGATTTTCCGTCTTTATTCTTGGTAGAAAGTACCGATGCCCCGGGTAATTAGCTACCCGTAAACCGGCCCTGTAGAGAGCGGGATGAAAAGAGAGAGCGTACAACAAAGATGGCGGTTGAGAAGCAACGGTGGAGGAGGTAGGATGTAGGAGGAAGAGGACGAAGAGACTACGGTGTAGGAAGAGAAGAGGAGAAAAGAGGATGGAACGACGGGGTACAGTGCGATTCGTTAAGAGTGGCAGGAGGGTAGAGGAGGATCGACGGAAAGAGACGAGAAGAGCCGAGGAGAGAGGTAACAGCGAAAGAGATAAAATCGGTTCACGAGGGACGAGCGGAGTTCGGGGGGGTTCGGGTTAGCTCGTTCGACCCGTTATCCCTTCTCTCCCGGCGTCCCGAGTTCTCCCTACCTGTCCTTGCTTCGATTCGAACGAGTCACCCCACTCTCTCCCCTCCGGGGACGCACGAAAAGTTTCCCCCACCAGGGACACACTTCACCGGCTGGCGGGCGACGATCGCAATTGCAAGCCGCCGCTTTCCGAGGTAGACTCGTTTCGTTCCCCTACGTGCTTCTCCCCACCATTCGACCAGCAGCGATACTAGCCAGCGAGCCATACTACGCTCCCGCCACGGTGACGTCACTTCGAGTAGTGTAGTGCAGTGAGAAGGAGCGAAGCCAGCTCCATCCGCGTTACATGGCCCGAGTGAACGTAGCGAGTGCGTTTAAGACGTACGTATACAAGCGTGCATTGTAGCGATTGGATCGCTAATATACATAAATCTGTTCGATTAATGCACGTTACGTGACACGAGAAGTTAATTGTTCGATCGGGAGAAACGAAACGAAACCGCGCCTCGCTTTTACCGAGAAATGTATTCGGCGTATGATTCCGTTAACGAGGTACGATCGGTGTAAATTCAGTGATTGTGAAAGAAGCAACTACGCAAAGTGAATAGCATAAAAAAAAAAGTAAGGAAATAGAAGGAGGAGAAAAGTAGTGTGTTCGTGCGCGAGAAAAAGAAGTTTATGCGTCGAAATTTAACAGGAAGAGAAAAAAGAAAGCAACGGTTCTATCGTCCGTAGATCGATTGTTTTTCAGTGGGGTTTTCGCGAGAGTTTGAAAGCGTATATTCCAAGCCTCTCTGTCGGTGTGCGACAAGAACGGAGGCACTAAAAATCACGCAGATTCCAACGCGAGTGTGATTATGCTCGGGAAATATGCGTCGGAATGTATCGTCCGCGCGTTGTTCCCGGTGTGCTTGGTGTGACGTGTGATTAGCCGCCTTTCTTCATACGCGATCCAGTGGTATACGATGTGGTGTTCGGCGACGGTCTTGATTCTCGTAGCCGTTGCCATCAGTGGTGTCCACTATCGAGGCTCCTCCTCTTCTTCGTTGTCGTCGGCGTGCATCGCGACGCAAAAATTTTATCGCGAGAGCTCCGTTGCTACCCTCTTCTGTCGACCGATCGTTCCACGGCGCTGCCCTGACGACAGCACTCGTCGTGCTTGGGGTCACCACCTTCCGGCTAGTGACTAGTGATAATCTGTTTGTTGCCAGTGATTAAATTGGGAGTGTCGAAGTGGGAGGAAGCTCCTTGCTTCGTCGTGGAATACACGTAACGGTTCTGCTTCGTCTTGTCCGCGTGTGTGTCGCGGGGCTCCACGAGTTTATTTTTTTTCTTTTCGTGAAACGAATAACGAAATCAATTGTATTGGTTCGCAATAATACGGTTGATTTGTCGCGACACGGGCAAAGAGCGATTTAAAGAAACCGGAAACGAGAAAGGATATAAAGAAAAAAAAAAAGGAGGCTTCCTTAG